TCTAAAGGACCTTGGTCAAGTACATCACTTTCTTGGCATTGAAATTTCACACACCAATGCGGGTCTTTCACTCTGTCAATCTAAGTACATCAAAGACATTCTCAGCAAGACAAACATGCTTGCAGCAAAACCTCTACCTACACCAATGACATCAACCTCTTCTCTTTCCAAGCATCAAGGCACTCCTATGGATAACCCTACTCTATACAGAAGTGTGGTGGGGTCACTTCAATATGCCTGTATTACAAGACCAGACATATCTTTCAGTGTCAATAAAGTTTGTCAATACATGCAGAGCCCAAATGACACCCACTGGAAAGCTGTTAAAAGGATACTAAGGTATCTTGCTGGTACACTCTCCTATGGACTACAGTACTCAAAGAACTCAGGCACTCACATTACTGGTTTTTCAGACTCAGATTGGGCCAATGACCTTGATGATAGAAGGTCCACCTCAGGTATTTGTATTTATCTTGGTAAAAATCCAGTTTCATGGTGCTCAAAGAAACAAAATTCCATCTCTAGATCCAGTACTGAAGCAGAGTACATGAGCTTGGCTCAAGCTTCAGCTGAAATCACATGGATATCATCTCTCTTAAAGGAACTCAACACTCAGTGCTCTCATACTCCCATTGTCTGGGTTGACAACCTTAGCACCATCTCTCTTTCATCCAACCCAGTGCTGCATGCCCGTACTAAACACATAGAAATAGACCTGCATTTTGTGAGAGAACAGGTTGCTAAGGGCACCCTTAAAGTCCTTCATGTTCCATCTGTTCATCAGGTGGGTGATGTTTTTACAAAACCTCTCACACTACAAGCCTTCTCTCGGTTCAGGAACCTTCTTCAACTGATTCCTCTCTCCTCCTTTGGCTTGAGGGGGGATGATAGCATACGTGGAAGACAAGCTTATACAAGCTGCATGAATGAAACTCCACGTCAGCAGAAGAATACATGCATGGAAATGGAAAGTCAACAAAAGCCAATGCCATGTCACAATGAAAGAGCTAAGGGAAAAGAGAAGAAAGCTCAATGAAGGCACATGCTACCAATGAGAGCAAGAGAA